TCATCATCATCATCATCATCATCATCATCATCATCATCATCATCATCATCATCATCATCAAATAATAATAATAATAAATAATAAGAAAAAATCACAAAGTACCGGGACTTGCAAATTGAAGTTGAGCGACTGTGGAAAAAGAAATTGTGTGTTGTCCCGATTGTAATTGGAGCCCTTGGAGCAATACCTAAAGGGCTACCTCACTATTTGGAAATTTTAAATTTATCAGACTTGAACATTCTGATTCTACAAAAAACCACCCTACTTGGAACAGCTTATATCCTCCGATGTTACCTTAACAGTTCCTAGGTCCTTGGTTAGGACTCGAGCTGTTGAGCTACCAACCAGCCCCAAAGGCTGTGAATCTCACCAAAGATTAACCACATAATAATAGGAATGTCCTAAATATTGTCACAAAGCTAACTGAATTTATGGGGAGTTTGGCTCAGAGGTGGTTTGATCCAGATCGGGTGAACTAGTAGTAGCACTGGCAGGAGGCTCTGCCCACCTTCCCGGACGCTTCTGTGCATGCACAGAAGCATTGCCTGCATGCACAAGCATGCACGAGAGCACACCTGAACTGGTAGTAAAAAAAATTGGCAACCCACCACTGGTTTGATTCCACTGAAATTGAATAACAACGAATAAGTGACCATTGTTATACTTTCTGGAAAGGTATACAGTCTGGAAATTCCAGAAGCCATTTTCTTCCTTTTTCCCCCAACCTTGTTTTTGTCAGAATACTCATCTACTTATCTTCTTACCAGTTAACATGAACTGATATGCATTGTCAGAGATGGTGAAGATATGAGGAGGGGCCTCTTGGCGTTTTTTCCCTCTATATGCATTAACCACCTCTGGGTTGTACACTGGCAACCACTTGTAGGGATTGACTGTGACACAGAAGAGACCTGAATATGTCTGGAAAGAAAAGACAAGTTAGTAATTGTTTGCTTGTGGACATAAAATATTTGGTTGTGAATTCAATGACAATGTTCAGATTCATCTTACATAAATCATCCAGGCTGCATAACGCTCTTTGAGGTTATACAGGACAGCAGGTTCATTGAGGTGGGTCATCATGGCCATGTCCTCAATTTTGTCAAATTTGGGTGGGTTCATTGGAAAGACTTGGTCATCTTTAACAGTTACAGTCTGCAAGGGAACAAAAGGTATTTCAGTCAAAAGCATTCAGAGGATGATGATAACAAAGCCTTACTTTTCCCTTGTGTGGTGTTTTTCTACTTACCTCTCCACCTGCACCTTCTTTCTTAACTGTGACTTTCCCCGCTTCCCTGCTCTGGACAACACCTTTTACAAAGGAAACCTTAGGATCCACCACAAAGACAGATGACTTGGCATCAAAGGGCTTGTTTTGAGCTTCAATTCTCTCTTTCTCTGACTTGCGGAGAAAGGGGGCAGCAACCCCAAAAGCTGCCATCTCACTGTCAGATGACATGGCTGCAGCTTAACAGAGAGCACTGGGGAAGAAAGAAACAACTCATATGGCGATCACAACTTTAATGTGCTGCTTCATGCAATCTCCTACTTTGCTCTCTCAGGTTATCTCAATCTAATTTGAAGAAAAGTCCTTTTCATCCATGAAAGGAATGCATATCTACTAATAAGTGGATAAACAATTATTGCAAGAAATAGGAAATCAGTGCACATTATGAAAAAGTTTGTGCGCTATTCAATTTCATTGAAAAATGTGCATGACTGGCTAGCACACTTAACCACTGTTTATTAAATTAATCTAATTAATTTTAAATTTCCATGACATGTTGAACCTTCTAGTAATTAAGCCTGGATTTCCCCAACTGGCTAAAATGTAACTGTCTAGTTCATGGTTCAGTAAATTAGATGAACACAATCACTGAAAATAATGATGAACTGGGTTATATGTTCAGAATACAATACTTATAAAGCCAATGTGCACAAATTCTTCTTCCTCTTATTTAAATAGTGATGGTCTGCAGTTTTCTCTATCATCATGGAAGCCTGGGGAGAAGTTGATGAAACTGTCTGCTGGTAGGAAAAAGTAACAGATCTGAAGAGACTTCATGAAAGCAAATGCTAATGAAAAGGGCAAAGGCAAAGAAAGTAATAGATGCCCCAGAGGTTGATTAATGACCCGGGGCAACCCTCCTGCCACTTTCTAGTTCTCCCCAAGCACATCTCATACCCACAACACCCTCCCCCTGACTTCATTCCTAATGTTGCAATTTGTCAGTGTTGGAATAAGGACATTCAAATATTACTTTTATACAGAACTCTTGGTGACAACTTAAAGCTGCCTCACTCAACATAAGTGTCATGAAGACAAGGGGAGATATTCTTGTTGTCTAGGCATGATTGTACTGGGCTTAAGTGCCAGTGAAGACAGATCTTTAATGATCAGGTTCTTCCCAGCTGACACTTTTGTAATGCCTATACCTCAGCCTTTTAATTTTAATGGAAACTGCATTATACTATATGTATCCTGCATCTAATGCAGTCATTGTTTCTTTGGTTTAAAAAAAAATCCTCCTTTTTCCTTAGCAAAAGATATGAAGAGAAAACAGTTTCCTTGTGAATGATAACATTGAGAGGTTTTTGTCAAGAGCCAGTCTCTAAAAATAGAGAAACCATAAACCATAGAAACCAAAAATTTGATTGTAGTTGGCATACATCACAGAATAAGTTAAATATGTATCCTACTGACCAATATAGTCTTTGGCTTCTAAATTTCAATTCTATTTCTCTGCTTCTCTATCTTTTGTTTATTCTAGTTGTTGTTGCAGAAATCCTAACCCTTATTGTTTGATAGGAAGAATTGCATGCTTAAGTTGTACTGGCAATGCAGAAGACTATTGTTATTTTGAGTTTAGTGACATATTTTTATTTCTCCTTCATATTAAGAAAAGTCTAGAAGTTTAGAGCTCATTCTTAACTCTCCTGCATGGTTTTTTGCTTTTGCTTGCTGAATAAAGGAGGGATGGGGATCTTTACATAGCTGCAAACCTGTGAAATTTTAGACTTTCCGTTCCCATCCCAGAATCATGTGGTGCTTAGTCAAGATCAGGTTTTACAATCTTATCCATACCAGGGTTATTAAATCATGGTGACTTTTTATTATAAACATCATGGGGTTGTTGTTGTTTGTTGAAGGTTTCTGCACAAAACGTAGCATTGGCACCTTGGGAACTAGATACCCAGGGTGGGGTGGGTTGTAGGTATCTCTGCTGTTGTCATTAAGGAGCTTCTCATAAGAGATTTTGATATCATCTTGCTTGGTATGTTTGCTTTTTATGTCATGCTTTTAAATCTGTTCGCTACAGTTAAATAATAATGCTTAACATCTCTTTATTCACTGGTGTGCTCATCTGTGGATCCAAAAGAACCAGTTGCCTGGATACCCGATCACCGCCTTGAGTCTTGGTAAAACATAGGCCTACAATTAGGATCAAGCTCTTTGTTTATGTGAAACAAAGCAGCTTTAAAGCCAGGGCTACAAACTCAGCTAGAAATTTTTTTGGGGGAAAAAAAATCTATTTTGAAGTAAAGAAACAAAACACAACACAATTTCAGCTGTTTTTGAAGTCTCAGTCAAAAGTGAAAGGTCATTATAAATCAATGTGACTACTAGCCAAATATGAACAAAGATATTCCATTATTGTTTTTTTTTAAATTGCCACTCTTCATCTTTTGTGAGAATAAACGGGTTTGCAGACTCTTGTCACATGCTTAGAAGAGCAGGAAATGCTCAAAATGCTTAACAGATGTCAAGATGAAACACTAATAAAAGATCAGATCTTACAATCTGAGTAAAATCTCTACAAAAGGCGTCTTGCGTGGCATTAATAAGGAAGAGTCAAAACTGTCTGTTCAGCTCAGTACCCAGAAAACAAACCCATTGAATCCCTCAAGAGCGAGTGTAAATAGCCTCTTACCTCCTGATGAAGAGAGTAGGTGGAATTCAGGCTCAGCACTGGCCAATGCTGCAAAACAAAAGGTCAATCTCTTCTTACTGATGGTTTGGCTTTGTTTATTAAGCCATTCAGCTACAAGCCACTGATTAGAGCTGAATGAATAGATTTGAGATCCCTCCGATCCAAGTAAATCCTCTCACTTTAACAACAGGGCATAAGAATCAACCAGTATGAATGGAATGTATGGGTGCTTCACCCATTCAGACCTTGCCGCCGCTGCCCAGCACTTACCTACTACTATCTTAAGAAGGACAAGGCAGGTTTGGTCCTTGAAACACTTTTATACTGTTGGATGAACATAAGAGCTACTCCATGCCCACCCCATCGCCATTCTTCACTGGAGGCATTTTTGGCTAACCTTTTCCAGTAAAGCATTGTTTGGCAAACTTGACTAAAGACATAATTGTCATTTGACATAGCTGGATATAATTAGAAATATTTGATGTCTCTCATACTGAGTAAATGCCCTATAAATAATGTCACCGAGGATCTAAAGAAGAGAATCTGGACTATTCAAGAAAGCCAGAGCATGGAATAAGGGCCTCTTAAGTTCCATCACTTAATGGCATCCTAAACACAGGTTTTAGTCCAATATCAACATTTAGGTCATCTGGCAACAGAAATAGGGTTCTTTGTTGGGAAGTACTCATGAGAAAATATTTGCAAAATGAATCTCAAGTCTCAAAAATGATTTTTTTAAAATGATAAATCTTCTATTATTATTATAGGTATTTCTGGAATTTCTCTTCTAATACCTTGGCAAAGCAAGTGTTCCATCTTAAGACTGATTTATATGACCATTGGATTCAGAAGCAATTTATAGTCATTTTATATGTATGCGTAATGCAGCAGAAGATAACTTTTTGCCTGCATAAGCTCATCGCCATGTTAAAAATGCACACTTAAAATATATTGTTCTGTATCTCTTTTAATATATTAAAATATAAACATTTGGGGTTCTTCTGTGATATTAAGTTTTCTATTTTACTAAAGGTTATAAGAAACACATATTTTAAAAGTGTATTCATACATAATAAGATATCATATGTACAGAAGAAGTTGGATGCTAAACCACAACTATGCATCTACCATTAAGAAATATTTATGTGGGACTGTGTTGGCACACACTTATTGTGGAGTCCTTGGCACTCTCTGAGCTTGGTTGTATTCTTGCATATATTTCATTACCTAACTAGATAACAACTAGGTAACATATAGTGCTGGAAAGGAATGGAGTTTCCTCTCTCTTTATATATAGTGCTTTGCCCTATGGTGGTGAGAGAGTCCTTTTCTTCTAGGTAGTTCCTTGATTATTGTTTACTGTTTGATTCTTTGTCTGAGTTGATAGTTCCTTCATTGTTCACTGCTTGATTATTATAGGCTGGTATTAATCCTGGTGTTAATCTCTCCTTATATTGCTGTTGATTGCTGGTGAGGAGGTATGTTGATCCTTTGGTTTTCTTTTTAGTTTTTCCATTGCCTCTAACACTGCCATACATCAAAAATATTTCAGAAATAAATAACAGCTTATTACAACCACATGATATCGTAGCACACAAACCATTTAAAGTTTTTGGAAAAAAATAAAAAAAAAAAAAAACAAAAAAAAACACAAACAAAAAAAAAAAAAAAAAAAA